CCCGGGGGTTGCTCCACCCAGACCCTGGTCCTGTTGCTGTCCTGGGGCCGGGCACACAGCCCCCAGCGTGCCCTGGGCACTCGGCTACCGGGCGCTGACCTGGGCCAGCGGCTCCGGCCTGCCCTTCCTGACCGCTACCACCTGAGACTCTCCGTGACCTGAACTGTTTGAGAAGCAGATGGTCGAACAGGCCTGTGAGCGCTCTTCTCGAAGCTGTTATGACGACACGACGATTGCCACTTACGAAACAGCCTGTGTTGTAATAACTTTCAAAACGAAGCAAATACTTTAAGCAGCAGCCAAATCAGCTTACTCCTTGGTGGTGCTTATGCTGAGGCCACAGCGCAGCCACCACTGCCGCTGCCTCTCGCCAGCCTGTTACCGGGACTAGATCTTAGCGTCCCTCCAGGGACAACCAGGCCGGGACACAATGCAGGAAACCACAGTGTTCAGGCCCGGGCTGTGGTCCTTGAGTGGAGGGAACCCGCCGGCAGAGGGCCGCCCCCCTCCCCCGCAGGCAGAAGGCCCGCAAGCTTGCACTGCAGTCGGGCCAGGGAGGAGGGGGCACAGGCACAGACCGAGTTATTGGGAAAGAGCGTAGGTTTCCCAGGTTTGTTTTATTTCTGGTGCGACCCTGAGCCCCACTCCCCCCCTCCCCTCTCCCTCCTTCCCCTCCCCCCCAGGGAAGCCTTTGCCAGTGCTGTAATGTACCCCGCGAATCACACAGGACGCCTCAAGAAGTCAAATTAAGGAGTCACATTTATTGCAAATCCGGGACTACGAGGGGGCATTTCGCTCCCCCAAACCTCGCAGGGCCCTCCCAGCCCCAACACCAGATTTATAGGCAGAGATCACAAAGGTATTGATTACATCCCAGGGTTTGGAATGAGGACCCTGGTTTGCACAAAGCAGTTATAGAAGCGAAATTGAGCCGATTAGTTATCTACAAAGATTAATTATAGTTTTGGGTCTTCAGACCACTGAGTTGACAGAAACACATTATCTAGAGCCCCGGGGTCTTGGGACCACTGAGTCAACCGGAACACATTATCTGTGGCCACTGAGGCAATTTAGGGTAATTGTGCTGTCCTGGTTCCCAGGTACAGAAGAATGTGCTTCCTAAAACCGGTATGACCACAACCAATGGGGTATTCACGTTACAGTCAATAGGGTATTCAATCGAATGGGATGGTTTATACAATTCAGAAAATCAAAGTAACTTTTCTATAGTTAAACAAAGCAAATAAGTACAGAAGCCAAACAGCAGGGTTAAAGTTAAACTACAGTTTCTACCTGAGATAATTGCTACCGTACTTCACCCGCAGGAGCCAGGAGGGCTGGCACCTCGGAGCTGCTCTACATTCGCTTGCTTTTCTGGGCTCCCTGGCCGCTCCACCTGCATGGCCCTGGGCTTTGGGTGGAAGCTGCAGGGTGTGCACAGAAGCTCCACCTGCATCCCTCCGGCAGCACAGGGCCAGAGAGGCCTCCCGGCCGCCTCGAGAGCCGGTTCCCGGGGCCTGTCTGGGCCCACGCGCCCTGCTCCTCACCGGGGCCGAGACGGAACAGGAGCCGCCCGCTCACAGGCCTGGAGCTCTGCCAGGTCTGCATGGCCCCTGCTCGTGCTGCAGGCCTGGCCTTGGGGGCCTCCCAAAGCAGCCGGGGGTCAGGGAGCGCCTTGAGTGGGATGGGCAGCCCTCCTGCGCAGCCACATTTCTGGGCAAAAGGAGAGGGTTGCCTCACTGACAGCTGTCCTCCCGCCAAGAGGAGCAGAGAGCAGCGTGGCCGTGTGGCCTGGCGGGTGCAGGGCGGGCGGGCGGGCGTGGGGACCCGGTCCCGCTGGGCGTCGGCCTGAGCCGGCCTCGTTGACCCGGGCAGCCCAGGGCCCTGTCTGGAAGTGTATCTTTGGTGAACTTTACCTCGTTCCGTGTTTAGGCTTAGATCTCCGAGTCACTGATCAGAAAGGGGTTTCAGGGTGAGGAGCCCTGGTGTTGAACTCGGCGTGCGGGGCTCCCGTGGAAGCAGAGGCCTCAGCAGAAACCTGAACGTGGGGTGGTGGCCCCCAAGGGGGAACCCCGGGCAGCCAGGCCTGGCTGGGGACGCCTGGTCTTGGGTCCTGCCCAGCCCCAGCCCAGGGAAGGCTCTGCAGAGCCAGGGCAGGCGTGGGCTCGTGTCCCCCACCCTCAGCAGCCCAGCAGCCACGAGGGAGCTGGGACCCCAGTTGCTCCTGACAGGACACCGGCCACTCCCCCTCCCCCTCCCAGCAGATCCAGGGGCCTGCCCAGGCCACACACTGGGCTGGGTCAGCCCTGGGCTCAGAACTGGGGGCAGAGGCGTCCAGGGAGGAAGCAGGGACAGCCCTGGGCTGGCCATCCCCCCGGGCCAGTTCAGAACCAGGGCCCTGAGAGGAACCTGGGCCGGGCTGGCAGAACAGGTCCTGCGAGAGGAGCAGGCAGATGGCAGTGGGGCAGGTTACTGTCTGAGCGGGGCCCAGCTCTGATGACTCAGGTGGAGGCCACATGGTGGCCACACGTGTGCTGAGGGGCAGACACCCGAGACCCCCTTTCCTCTCCTGTGGCTCAGAGCTCCCTCCCCCTACACCCCAGCATCTACGGGCGTCAGCCCCCCACACAGAAGCAGCGCGTCTGGGCCGGGCCGACCCTGCTCCTCGCCTCACTTTCCCCATTAGTGCCCGCAGCGGCTCCCGGTGAACTGAGGCCAGGCCCTTGTGTTGGGGGGAAGGTTCCCTGTGCCTCCGTGGTCAGAGTCCTGACCCCTTCCCTTCCACTGGCAGTGCCTTCCAGAAGGAAACCAAGCAGGCAGAGGTCAGAGGTCGGTGCCCTGGTGAGGTCAGGAGAGGGGGTGGGGGGTCTGTGTGCAGAGATCATCCATGGACTTGTGTCCTCCGCCTCCAGGACTAGGCGCTCGGCCGGGCAGCAGGAGGGTTAGGGCTCTGGGCACGCCTGGCAGACCTCTGTTTACAGGCCATCGGCTCACCCTGGGCTGCCTCCCCAGCCCCCTGCCAGCCCTGCCCCCTCCCCCCCACTGCCTCCTGCCCAGCTGGCCCTCCTCATCCTCGAGCCTCACCTGTGCCACCTACGGCCATGTGCTGGGCAGTCCCTGCAGACCTCACTCCCACAGCGGCCACACGGCAGCCCCCACCTGCCCGTAAGGCAGGGCCAGGCCTGAGCTCCCCCAAGGGCTGCTTTCTCATCGCATCTCGTTTTACAGAAGAAATACGTTCTTAGTTCCAAAATGGAAGTCGGGAGGATAAAGTTCGCGGCTGCTGGGCAATGGGAGATGGATGCCCGGCAAGCAAGGCCCATGGCAGGGGGATGTGACAGCGGGGAGTAGGCCAGCCATTAGCCTCTCGCCCCACCCCCACCCGGGCCCGTTGGGAAATGGTCATGACCGGAGACGGAGTGTTCCTGAGTGCCCAGTGGAGGGGCAGGCCCCGGCTCCTCCGCCGGACACCAGGCTGGGCCCTGAGGGTCGCTGCAGAGGGCTCTGGCCTGCGCGGGCTCCTGTGTGGGCCCAGGGCTTCCCGCTGCAACCTAACAGGCCTCCTTGTTTCCCTCCACCTGCAGAGCTCACAGCGCCTCCAGCCGCTGACGGCCCACCGAGCTCTGCTGGGAGCCCCGTGGGGCCGCGCGCCACCTTCGCCATCAAAGGGATGAAGATAGAAGCCCAGGCCAAGGCCAAGCCCACCAGACCCTCCAGGGCTCACCCTGCAAAACCTAAAGGCTGCCAGCAGCACCCCAAGATCCGGAACTACAACCTCAAAGACTAACTTCCTCAGCTCCCCCCTCCTCCTAGTGGGTTTGGGGGCCTGTGTCTTCATCTCCAGAGCAGAGGTATGTGTGTGCGAGGCGTGTGCGAGGGGGACTGTGAGCTGCAGCTCATGCCCCCCAATGCTGTTGGGGTGCCTCACAGGCCTAGCGAGGAGCCCATTAAAGCCACGCCCCCCTCCTGCTGGCCCGGAGTTGTTTATCTTCCTACTTGGTACAGGGCATCACCTGTCATCGCCCACAGCCGCCCACCTCGCTGCTGGGGCGCAGAGCACGGGATGCCCACCCGCCGCACGCGTCCCCCAGAGCAGTGAGAGCTGCAGCACGTGCCCTGTGCTGGGTGCTCATGTCGGGTGCTGGGGGGGCCCAGACTCGGCACCGGCAAGAGTGAGAGACACCCACTGACGCCACTCACTCTAAGGGCACAAACCCACCCTCCCCACCAGGAGTCCTGCCTGCAGGTCCTGATCCGAGTCTCTGCGGGAGGTGGCCCCCCAGAGCCTCGACTTTCTTCCCTGGCTGGGCACTGACCGCATAGCCTGGGCCGGCCGCCCGCCTGCAGCCCTGCTGAGGGAGAGACAGGCCTGTCCCCCGCGGAGAGGTGGCTGTGCCTGCAGGCAGGCGGGGCACTCAGTCTCCAGGAGGGTGGGAGGGCGACGGGCGGTTGCTCCCACCCACCTGCTGTGTGACTGGGTGGGCATCGCGTGGCCTTTGTGTCCTCGGCCTGCCTGGCTCACAGGTGTGGGGAGCGGGCAGCACTGGCCCAGGGAACTGCCTGATGCAAGGCCCGAGGTCACAGACCCGGTCTCCGTGGGCAGCGCTCCTGCCTCGCCCTGTGCGCAGGCGGCGCAGGCTCGGCCTCCCCGCGGGCAGCACTGCTGTGTCCGCCGGTGCCCTGCTAGCGAGGCGCGGCCGCGCGACTTCCTGCAGCTGAGAAAGTGAGCGGGGAGCGGGTCGTTTCCCGCAGAAGCACTTCCGACCCGCGCAGCCTCCTGCTCGGCGCGCCGGGTATGAAACGCTCTTAATGGGGGGGTTGGGGGGAGGCGCGGGAGCGAGCGGCCACGTGCGCGCACGGTCTCCCGGAGGCTCCTTTGTTCCATCGCTCCCGGCGGTGGCCGTGCGGCGCCGGCTCTCCCGACGGCCGCGCGGCTCCGGGCAGCGGGGATGCGCCCGCTCGGCCGCCGCCTGGCCTGGAGGCGTTTCCGGGTCCCCGCGAAGTGGGGCGCCGGGCAGGAAGGACCAGGCCCGCGGCGATGACCGGCAGTAACCCCGCCGGGGCTCCCTGGCCGGGTCAATGACCGCGCTCGCCCACGGCTGCCCGCGCGACGGCCCGGCCGCCCATCACCCTATCGCCTAGCAACGCCCACTCGCGCGCCGCCATTGGTCCGGCGTGCACGCCCCCGGCCCCCGATTGGCCGAGACTGCGGGGCGAGCCACGCCCCCAGCCAGGTCCGCGCGCCCGGACGCGGACACGTGCGTGCGTCCCCCGGGGTCCGCCTAACCCCCAGTGGGGCCCCGTGTGAACCCCGACACCCCAGCCACCCCGTCCCGTGCCACGCACGCGCCGCGCACACGTGGGCCCCGCGTAGCCAGGGGAGGGGGCGGCCGAGGAGGCGGGGGTGGGCGCGCCATGTGCCTCCGGGCGAACGGAAGTCGAGGCCCCCGCCGTCCCGGGCGCGCCCCCGAGAGGGTCCCGCCATCACCCCACCGGCGGCGGCGCGCGGTCCCGGGCGCAGCCCCGACGCTCATTGGCCTGGGCGGCGCCGCCGAGCTGTCAGCCCATGTGGCGTGTCCGCGCGGGGCGGCCGCGGTTAAATACGCCGGCGCCGGCCTAGAGGGAGCCAGAGAGACGCAGCGCCGGCGCCTCCTCCGCGCTGCATCCTCGCCCCGCCGTCCGCACTGCGCCCGCGCCCAGACCAGGTACTGCGGCGGGGCCGGGGCCGGGGCCGGGGCCGGGGCCCGGGGCCCGGGGCC